AGAGAGAGAGAGAGAGAAATGAAGAGATAGAGGCGGCCAGATAGCACCGCAGGGGGAGGGTGGTGAGAGTGACAGGGAGGGTGTCGTCGAAAGCGCCAAGAGTAGCCTACCGTAGGCCTACTTAATGTATCCATGGGTCAAAGTCAAAGGTTCCACCTATCGTAGCCCGGTTTACACCCTGCGTGTAGTAGTATGTCTAGATCGAATATCTAGATCAAGATTAAAAAAAACAAAAAACGTGAAAGTATTGAAAGTAGATTTCTCCTGCATTGGATTTAGCGCGTACGCCGAAGGATGAGTGTATTTTGTGCACAATGTCTAGATTAGATCTAGAATCGAGATCTAGAATAGAGATCTAAATCGAGATCAAGAAGAATCATGAAATGAAAGTGGAATCGAGATCTGTGATGTTTCGATAACCCATTGAACATTGAAAGTGGATTTTTCTTGCTGTGCATTATATATTCTAAGATCTAGATCTAGGCTAGATCTAGATCTATAAGCTAATCTTAGATCGAGACCAAGAATGATGAAAGTATTAAACGTGGATCTTTACCTGCTGTGAATAGATCTAGAGTCTAGAACTAGGCTGTCGGTGAATCTAGATCGAGGTCAAGAATCATGAAAGTATTCTTGAAAGTGGATTTTTCCTGCTGTGAATAGATCTAGAAATCTAGGCCATCTGTGATGCCTGTCTATTGTTAAAAATGTGAATTTCTAAACTTAGATCTATATATGGGCCTGTGCTCCTCCTTTCAATTATAAGCCTATGTCTTTATAATCCTTCGAGATCTAGGCTAGATTCTAGATCCAGAATCTAGATCAGATTCTTCTAGGAAGCAACAATTGGCATGTAGGCCTAACTCTTTATCTAAAAAGTGATTGAGGTGGAACTTTAGTAGAAAATGCCACGCCTTCGAAGAGGGAGAAGAAGTCTTACCCCTAGAGGTAGTCAAGAGGGGGTGCTACTACATGGATAAATTCAAGGTAAAATATTTGTGTTTTGTTTCTTTCCTGTTTTCAGTCCTTTTCCTCTTCTTAACGTTCCTAATACTTCTTCATTAATATTCCGTTATAATAATAATAATAATAATAATAATAATAATAATAATAATAATAATAATAATAATAATAATAATAATAATAATAATAATAATAATAATAATAATAATAATAATAATAAGTACCTTTATGCTGCACATTTCCTTTTTCTACAAACTGCTCAATGCGCATTACATAAATAAAAAATTAACTCCTTAAAAATGAATGGACATGTGTATGCGTAAAACATAATATTATGCATTTATATGTAGATCTATATGTATAAAAATTACTATGAGAAAACTAGTCACACAGTGAGCCTGATAATGCGTTCGCTAAAGATATAGAAAGCAATAAAAACTCATGAACGTCACAGTAAAATTGAAACTTGAAGAACTAGAAACATTAAATAAAAACGCTCGTTCTCTATAAATTATAAATGGAAAAACACTTCGGTTCTCTCTCTCTCTCTCTCTCTCTCTCTCTCTCTCTCTCTCTCTCTCTCTCTCTCTCTCTCTCTCTCTCTCTCTCTCTCTCTCTCTCTCTCTCTCTCTCTCTCTCTCTCTGTCTCTCTCTCTCTCTCTCTCTCTCTCTGTCACTGTGTCTGTCGCGCTCTACTCATCTCTTATCATTCTCACCCCCTCTCTCGCTAAAAAAACATCTTTGCAGACACCTGTCCCTTAGTGGTCACACACACACACACGCACACACACACACTTACACACGCACACACACGCACGCATACACGTTATTTTTTAAATCTCACCGTCGGGCACACACATGCATGTGTAACAGTTCATCATTTTGACTGGTATTGGTATGCTTTTGTGCTATTTGAATCCTTCAGTTCTTTTTGGGAAATGCGAAGTGTAGGGGCACTCCTCATTTTACATGGGAGTTCGTTCCTTAGTTGGGGACCAAAGAACAACAAGGAACGCTCGCTTTATGTTTTGTAATTTTGTTTTATTTTATTTTATTTTATTTTATTTTATTTTATTTTATTATATTTTATTTTATTATATTTTTTTTATTTATTTATTTTTTTATTTTTTTTTTGGGGGGGGGGGGTGGGGTTCTAAGAATTAGATTTTCAGTAGTGGCGGATCTAAGGGCTCTGGGTGGATGATATACTTCCAGGAATTCTATTAGATAAATAGGTGCTGTATCATTTATATAGTGTACATTGTATTTAAAACAGCAAACGGCAGTTTTGTGTTTGATCCTTTATTTAATTGGCAGCCAGTGTAGTTCTGTGAGAATTGGTGTTACGTGCGCTGATTTGTTTTCTTTCATTATCAATTTTGCTGCTTGATTTTTTGAGTACTTGTAACTTTGATCGTTTTTCGGCCGTCAAACCAGATAAAATAGTATTACACTAATCTTATTTGGATAAATCAGTGTTGTTACCTGCTGCTTTAATTAAATAATTTCGTACAGTTTCGATTTTTGCGGAATTTAAAATTTACTACCAACGGTAAATATGTAATGTGTCCTGCAAACTCACATGACCTCATTCAGTTGCGAGTGCCGTAAGATACTTACTTTTTAAAAAAATCAAAATTATGAATATCAGATGGGTTGCTCCCTTTTGCAATCAAAAACCGAGCTACAGCTTGAACTTGACTCTTTGACCATTCCTTGATGGAAGTACCCACCATCTTTGTTGTGCTGTCACAAGATGCCTTCATTTACTGTGCGCTAAATGAGTGAGTTGGTAATGGTAGCCTACATATTAAGTTCCTCTGCAGCATCCTTTTTACAGATCTTGAAAAATAATGTTCTCTGGGCTAATCGCCTTTTCATCTTATTGTCGGAACAACTCTCGTATTAGTGAAGGAAGAAACATTTTGTGAAAAGAAAATCAATGTCAGGATAATTCAGATAGTGGCCACAGTAGTCAAAGTTGTAGTTGTTGGTAAAAAGAAAAAAAATGCCACATTGAGAAAATTACACAGTACAACCGATAGAAGAATGTACAAACATGAACTGCATAAATGTTGTTTTGACTTTTTTCTTCAAAGCAA